TTTCAAGGAAACAGGAGGTGCAGATAGACCACAAGCCAAGTTCAACACTCAAAAACTGAAGGATCAGGCCACAAAGGACATCTTCACTACAATCATAAGGGAAAAGGTGGAGACACAAATCGACACTGGCGAAGAGGTCAGCGTCGAAAAGCACTGGAACAACTTGAAAACAGTGTGGAGTCAAACCTGCATGGAAGTTCTGGGCAGAAAGAAGAGACAGGATAAACAGTGGCTCACTACGGACACTTGGAAACTAATAGAAGAGAGAGGGATGGTGAAACAAAAGATTCTCTAGTGCACCGATGAGCAACAAAAACAGGATTTGAATGCAAGCTACAAGACAGTGAACAAAAGAGTAAAGAAGAGTGCCAGAGAAGACAAAAGAAAGTACTATGAAGCCATGGCAAGTGAAGCAGAACAAGCTGCAGGCAAAGGAGACCTCGCAACACTCTACCAAACTACTAGGTACCTATCAGGCAAATGTTCGACACAAATCAAGCCGGTGAAGGATGGCAATGGAAAGTCACTCACCAAAGAAGTGGAACAAAGGAAACACTGGGCTGAACACTTCGAAAGACTTCTAAATCGACCACCACCTACAACGCACTCAACAATACCAACAACGGAGACAGAGCTACCAGTGAACACCAACCCCCCGACGAAATCAGAAGTCCTGAAGGCAATCAAGATGCTAAAAGCTGGAAAAGCAGCAGGACCAGATGGAATCCCCGCAGAAGCATTGAAAATGGACCCAGGGGCGACGCCACTACTGGAGAAGGTGTGGAAAGAAGGCAATGTACCCGAGTATTGGAAGAAAGGATACTTATTCAAACTACCAAAGAAAGGAGACCTAAGTCAATGCAAGAACTGGCGAGGAATTATACTCCTGTTCATCCCAAGCAAAATACTAAGCCGCATCATGCCCTGGATAAAAAACTTCGACCGGAACAGGCTGGATTCAGGAGAAACAAGTCATGCATTGATCAGATCGCCACACTACGGATCATCATTGAACAAAGCCTGGAATGGCAGTCACCTCTCTATCTCAACTTCATTGACTTTGGAAAGGGCTGCCATAGCGCAGCGTCGATCGAGAGGTGATGTGGGAACTACTTCGCTACTACGGGGTGCCACCGACAATTATACATCTCATCCAACAGCTGTACGACAATGCTGCATTCCAAGTAATCCGCAACGGGAAACTTACGGGGCCCTTCGAAGTGAGGACAGGAGTAAGACAAGCTGGCTGCCTACTATCGCCAATGATTTTCCTGATTGCAGTAGACTGGATAATGCGACAAACAGCGGGCAATGAGGAAACAGGCATAAAATGGACACACACAAAAACAACTTGGAGGATCTAGACTTCGCCGATGATATGTGTCTGATTTCCCACAAACTGGATATGCAGGTGAAAATCAACAAGTTTGCAGAAGAAGCATCAAAGATAGGACTTCAGGTGAACATAGAGAAAACAGGGTGATGAAGATTCCTGGCCAACAGCAATGGCAACAACAACAGACAACAATCAACCAGCATAAATGGGAGGAGTGTGAAAGAAGCAACCTCCTTTACCACCTACCTACCTGAGAAGAATCGTTTCAACTACAGGCGGATGGAACTGATGAGGATATCAAAGCGAGGATCATCGGGAAAGTAAAGCAAGCTTCCATCAACAGCACTGTTCAGTATGAAAAATAAGATCCGGATTTGTAACTCCACTGTGAAGTCACTGCAACTATACGGATCAGAGACTTGGCGCATCATAAAGAACATCTCAAACAAATTACAGACCTTCATTAACAGCTGTCTTCGCTCAATACTACTCAAGATCAGATGGCCGGCCAGAAAAGATCAGCAACAGAGATCTCTGGCAATGAGTGAAGCAACCAGGAACCGATTGTGAAACAAATAGGCAGGAAGAAATGGAGATGGATTGGCCATACTCTGAGGAAACCATCAAGTGACATCACTAAACAAGCCATTGCTCGAGTGGAACCCGAAAGGGAAGCGGCGAGTTGGTCGTCATTGCAAGGGTGACTTGGAGGAGGTCATGTGAAGAGGAGATGAAAACGTGTGGGCAGACTTGGAGCCAGGTGAAGACTCTAGCAGAGAACCAAACGCAATGGAGACGCACGGCTGAATCCCTATGTTCCTCTAGGAATTAAAGGAACAACAATAATAAATAATAATTGTGTGATACATCTAATAAACAAACTAGTATGCATTTTCAACTAACTATTACGTTTTATAACTCATTTTCTGTATTTCTGTAATATGCGGACTTTATATTTTTTTCCTTAACTCGGATTTTTATTCTGATATTTCATATCGCTACTGAGTCCGCCACACTTCAGTTTTCGCTAAATTAAGTAGATCGGTATTGGACTAGCTATAAACGGTGGAAGCTGAACCCGACTACATGCTTCAATTGAGGATTATTTGGCCCTCGAATAGTCAGTAGGCTCGGCCATTAAACATGGCACCCAAGAAAAGTAAGACTGATTAGCGCCCTCGGGGTGATGGCAGAGCCCTACATAAGCGAACCATCTCAGACGGATGCCTAATACCACACATTCAAGACTTTGCCAATAGTCTTAGAGGTATCGGAATATTTACTAAAATAGACCTAGTTCGCGCTTTTCACAATATTGCGGTAGTCGAAGAAGATATACCCAGAATAGTCGAAACCATACAATTCGAATTATATGAGTTTGTGAGGATTATTTTTTATTTTTATTTTGATTACAGCTTGATTCCACACCGTATTTTCAGTACAAGTATGGAATTTTCAGCATGGATATCGGTAGCCCAAATTTACAGGCCAACCATAGATATCGGGTGTGCGTCGGCAGGGTACCATATGGTTCCTAGAATGCTGCACAAACTTTTCACAGGTTTACTGATAACTTCTGCGTGAACTGCCGTTCCCCCGAAACGTGCATACATTACCTACTCATTGCTAGTCCGGAAGTAAACACGAATGAAGACCGCACTAGAGTTGTATTACGCAGACTAGAAGACCAAGTCATGACAGTCAATCAGAACAAGTGTATTTCTGCAGCATAAACAATAGAACTCTTAGGGCATGTCATTAACAGCACTGAGATTGCATCAATGCTCAAAGACGTGGATAGCATCAAGAAGCAACTCCAGAGTTTTTGGGGGTTGATCATCTTCTACTGACGGTGTATTCCTATTTGCGTACAATACATGAAGCATCTAATTGATGCTCTAAGGGGAAACCAAAAGACTTTCACTTATCGAAAGAGGCATTCTGTGCTATTGCCCAGCTGAAAGATGCGTTAGTAAAAGCCAAAATGCTGAAACGCCTTTATCCAGAGGATGCTCTTGCATTAATGGCAGACACTCCCGATAAAGATATGGGACAAGCTCCTAATCTTAACACCTGGAAACTGATAGCATTTTTCCTGAACAGCTTAATCCAACAGAGATGGGGTATCCCGCTTTTGACATTTAAATACATTAACCACATGCTATTCACGATCTACACAGATCACAAGCCTTTCACTTATGCGCTTAATGCAAAAATGGACAAGTGTTCGCCATGCGAGATTCATCGCCTTGATTTGTTATCAGAGCTTACCAGTAATACAAGACACGTGAAGGGGATAGAGAAATGTTTGGTTGATGCACTGACCAGAATGCAAGTGAATACAGTGCAAAAAACCCCTGTAGAATTCAAAGCAGTGGCAGAAAATCAAAGGAAAGACGAAGAGTTGAAGCATATCTTCACTGCAAATAACTCTGGTCTCAAAATTGAAAAATTACCACTTCCTGTAGATGGCAACTTGATATACGGTGACACAACAAAGCATTCATCGATGCTATTTGCCCCTGAAATATAAGATTCGAAACACTGGTCAGACTTTGGTTGACAGCAGCTGACATTACCGATTGCAGGATCAACCTGTTTCTAGAGTACAGTCTTGTCGACTGAGAATATCAGGCTGGTATTATCCTCCTAAATGAAAACGCCAACAAGATGCGGTCTTCTGAACACCCTCATAAGAAATCTTTGGGTACTTCGCAAACGACTCATTTCTGTCAAATGTAAGATAATACTGATCCTAGGATGAAGATAGGCAACGAATTTAATGAGCGTGTTGAACACTTCACTTATTTTGGAAGTTTCATCACTCCTCATGGAGTGATTGTTGACAGCATCTCAGAACCAACACAACTGGTACCTTGTCGTGGTGGTCGCCTTAAAAACTGTAGTTACCCAATAAGTTGATCTGCCTAGGACTTTTGTTCCTGCAGGTCCTACCATATAAGAGAGGTTGTTTGGATAGCGGTTAGACTAAGAAAAGCTATTGTGGGGTGCATGGGCTCCAGGACCCAATGGCGTATGAATCTGTGTTGGTCACCGGCAACCATGTGAATGTACCTCCAGACGCTGCTGCGCTGCTTTGCGGATTAAACTCCAAGTCAAGGCCTCAGGGGGTGGTTCCTTAAGACAACTACCTGCTTCGATATGGGTGCCTGGGCAGTATCTCAGCCCTCACACAGTCCATGAAATGAAACAAAGAACTCTCAGTGACACTAATCGCGCGCTCTTAACAGTGCTCTAGAACACTAATGGGCCAAGTCAAACTTTAGACTCCAGTAACTACCAATCAGCGAACGACTTCGAATTATCCAATGAGATTCAAGAACGTAGTTCAATGTTGTATAGCGCTTGGTTCATTTCACTGCGTGCCCTTACAAGGTTACATTTGCAGTTGGAGGAGGATAGTGTCTTTCAGTATTGACTGGACTTAGGCTTGCTTCGAAAGGAGAGAAGTTGTTCGTGTGGTGGTGTAATGACTCTTAAAAGCTATATTAGGTCAACTGATGGTTTTGTACATCGTTGTGGAATATGCTGGAAGCGACCCAAGCTTACAATAACGCTGAATTAAATCTCAGTAATTCTGAAATAATTCTTGCATCCTATAGTGAGTAAATTCTGAATCTGTTCTGAAATGGTTTCTTTAATCAAGGCGCGCGAACTTTGAAAAGGGAGTGAATTTTACACGCTCTTGTTTAGTTTTGGCTTTTGTTGTGTTATACGCTCCAAAAGTCTACAGATTAACTTTAAATCAGTTTATTCTGATCAAAGTTAGTTTACTTTTCAGATCTGAGTCTATTTAAATTATAGGAAATTGTTATTTCTATAACATAATAGCTATATATATATTTTTGTGCACTCATTGATTTTTATCGCTGACTTATAAAGGTCTATATACATCTAAGTTATATTTAAATTTCTTCGCCAGTCTGTTCTAGACAGTATGCCCATCAAAAAAAACCGCTGTGGAAGGGTTATGTGCCAATTCCCAGTGGATGAGGGAATGCAGTGTGATAACTGCAAGAGATGGTTTCACAGTATGTGCACAAACCTAACTCCTGCAGCATACAAACGCTGCTGTAAACCTCTAGAAAACTGGTTGTGCAATGACTGTTGTAGTACTACCAAACTCCGTATTACAGAAGCCATTGCCACTCTTAGCGGGGCTTTAAAGCTCATGGACTGCGAGGGTCATCCATCACAGGAGAAGACTAACTGCTTCTCAGACACCGAAGATGCGACTAGCGTCATCGACAGAACAGTACATGTTCCTAATGAGTCTTTGTCAATGACTGAGTGCCCTTCAGCACAGAAGAGCACTCACCACATTCCAGTCACCCAGGCTGCCCCCACGATACTGGATAAGCCCTCCAGTGACAGTAACGGAAAGACTGCCACAAAGAAGAGGCGTACCAGGGGTCGTAAACCTGCAACTCAAGTCACCCAGGTACTAGTGGATCAAGCCTCGTCCACACCGGTGAGTAGCAGGCAGATAAATCCTGCTACGACTAGTGAAGAGAACGCCAATGAATGGCGTAACGTAGTCTCTCGCAAAAAGCGAGACAAGGACAATACATTGGCCACACTGCCCACGAAGGAAAGGAAGACATTCACGCCGCAGAGCAAGACAACCACGGCAAGCAAACCTGATCTCTCTGACAGGTCGCTCATTCTCCACAAAGTGGAAGAGTCATTGGCCCCCGAACCCAAGACTAGATTTGAGCATGACCTTAACTTGGTTAAGCCCCTTTTAGACAAGCTACTGCCACAAACAGTATCAGGCGTCACTATACACAGTGTATATAGAATAGGCCAAAAGCCTGACCCTACAGTAAGTCAGCCTGTACGTCTCCTCAAAGTCGTACTAAACTCTAAGGAAGAGAGGGATGCTATTCTAAGCAACTCTCATATACTTAAAGGATCAGGCATATATGTCCGCGCCGACTTAAGCCTGGCAGACCGTATCAAAAGACAGTCTGCGGCCCTAGAATTAAGCGAACGACGCCGAAACGGCGAAAAGAACCTTAAGATTAAGGGTTTTCGGGTTGTTCAAGTTCGCAGTTTAATGATCCCGAAACCTCTGTGGGTAGGCCGGGGAAGCACCAAACTGGATTAACAGTTTGCTACACAAACGCCCGCAGCCTGTTAAATAAACGGACTGAGCTGGTTAACATGATAGACTCCGGAAACCCGGATGTAATTATTATCACAGAGACATGGCTCACACCCGATGTCACTGACAGCGAAGTTAACCTGCCAAACTTCGAAGTGCATAGGGTAGACCGACTAAACCGCAAAGGAGGTGGCGTAGTCATTTACCTCAAGAAATGCTTAACCGTGCGTAGTATCGAAGCACTCGCTCACGAAAGTGAGTCGTGCGAACTTCTACGCTGCAGACTTAAATGCATAGGCCAAGACATTGACCTCATTGCTATGTACCGCAGTCCTAACTGCAGTGCAGATGACTTCCTGATAGAGAAGCTAGGCTCCTGGACCTCGAAATGTCGAAGTCTCGTAGTTGGCGACTTCAATGCCCCAACAGTTGACTGGACGAGCCTAACAACTCCATCCTCAGTCAACTCCTTTGACTATAAACTGCTGGAATCTAGTATATCGTTAGCTCTAGTCCAACATATCATCAAGCCCACGCGCTATGACTCACAGCACTCCTCCTCAACTCTGGACCTAGTGTTCTCCCATGGTGAGGATGTAGATCTCATACAACATCTTCCTCCTTTAGGAAGAAGTGACCATGCTGTGCTCACTTTCAAGTTCACAGCAACGGCAGCAAGGGCCAAAACCCCATCTCGACCAAACGTTTGGAAAGCTGATATAAATGCAATCGTCTCAGCAGCCAACTCAGTAAACTGGTACGTCAACCCAGAGTCTCAAGTAGAAGCCGCATGGAACCAATTTAAACAACTTTACGCCCAAGTAACTGAACCTTTCATCCCTTGGTCTGTCCCAAAGGGTCGGAAACACTGCCCTCCTTGGATAAACCGAGAGATTCGTAAGTTACTTAGACGTAAACACAAATGTTGGAACTTGTTTGCCACACTTGAGACTTCTGAGACCAGGCAATTATACAACACTGCTAGAAATAAAGCTATTGCAGAAATCCGCCAATCAAGGATGAAATTCGAAGCACACCTGGCTCAAAATGCAAAGGCACAACCTAAGAAAATTTTCTCGTACATGAATTTCAGGAATAAAACATCCAATGGTGTCCCAAACCTGACTATCGACAATGACACAATCGAAGAAGATCAAGAAAAAGCAGAAGCAATGGCAAACTACTTCTCCCAAGTCTTCACTCAGGAGTCGTCACAGCCTATAGGATCAGCTCTGGCTGCATCAGAAGAACATGGGATAGATTCCGTTGACATCGACCAAGGCATCGTGCTCAACTGCTTAAGGAAACTAGATGCAGGGAAATCAATGGGTCCTGATAATCTTCACCCAAGGCTTCTCAAGGAGTTATCAGCCCACATAGCCGGCCCCTTGACTACGATCTTCAAGCTTTCTCTCCAAAATGGAGTGTTACCGCGTGACTGGAAAGACGCCATAGTAACCCCCATCCACAAAGGAGGATCAAGGCAAAGCCCTTCAAATTACAGGCCTATCAGTCTCACCAGCACTTTGATTAAGACACTGGAGAGAATCATCAAGAAAAGCATAATGGCATATCTAGAAAACAGAAGCTTATTATCAAGAGCACAGCATGGCTTCCGAAGGAACCTCTCATGCCTGTCAAATCTTCTCACTGCAAGAGAAAGCTGGGTTAAATCCAGGGACAACAGAAGACCCGTTGACGTCGTCTTCATAGACTTCAGCAAAGCCTTTGATAAAGTACCTCACAAAAGACTACTCATGAAGTTGGAAAGTCTTGGTATCAAAGGCGGCTTACTAAACTGGCTCAGGGAATTCCTCATAGATAGGAGGCAGAGGGTTAGGATCAACTCGAAACTCTCCTCTTGGACAGCAGTACGCAGCGGAGTGCCACAAGGCACGGTACTTGGACCTCTCCTATTTATTTTGTATATCAATGAGTTATCTCTACTCACCGATTCCCCTATGGTCCTATACGCAGATGACTTAAAAATTTGGAGAGAGCTGAAGGGCAACAGTGACACGTCCACGTTGCAAGAGGACCTCAACAAATTGTCAGAGTGGTCCATAGAATGGATGCTCCCGATAAACGTGACAAAATGTGCAACCATGCGCATTGGACAAGCAAGCACGAGCTCTTATGAACTAGAGGGAATTACACTTCCATCAGTTCAGACTTACTTGGACTTAGGTGTCATAGTTAGCCACGACTTAAAAACTACAGCACACTGTCGCGCGGTGGCTGCACGTAGTTTCAGGTCATTATGGGCAATTCGTAGAGCCTTCACTAGAATCACCAGAGATATGTTCACCTCCTTATATACATCTCTGGTGAGGTCAAGACTGGAAAACTGCATCCAGGCCGCCAGCCCTTGTCTAAAAGGGGACTCACTTATTCTAGAAAGGGTTCAACGGAAAGCAACACGTATGATTCATGGCATGACTAACTTATCATACGAGGAAAGACTAGACAGTTTAAATCTCTTCTCCTTGTCATACCGTAGGCAGAGAGGAGATTTAATCACAATGTTTAAAATTTTAAATAATGACTACGGACCTGACCTATTTTCTCTTTTCCTTCCCACCAGGTCGGAACACCTTAGAGGACATAGCAGGAGAGTTCAAAAGCCAAGAAGAAATCATATTGCTGTTGAGTACTGGTTCTCACACAGAGTCATAAACTCTTGGAACCGACTCCCAGAAGAAGTGGTGTCTGCAACCTCAGTTGATTCGTTCAAGAAGGGTTTGGACAACCACAGAAGTTTACTAGAAAAGGATTAACATAGGCTCCAAGCCTTCTATCCTCAAACAATAAATCTGAATCTGAATCTTTAATGGCACAGACTAGAACCCAGTACTGGTTTTCAGCATGACTAGAACGAATTCAGCACCGTGTTCTTTTTCTAGGCATTTTCAGGAGTAGATCAGAACATACTGGGTTTCCTTATCAGCGTTGTTCCAGCCATTACAGGACGTATTAAGCACTGACTAGCATTACTTCAGAACGAAAAGACCTAATTCAGCACATAGTGGCAATTTTTTCAGCTTAATTCTAGCCTTCTCAGCACATATTCAGAGCTGACTAGCATTACTTCAGAACGAGAAGACCTAATTCAGCACATAGTGGCAATTTTTTCAGCTTAATTCTAGCCTTCTCAGCACATATTCAGAGCTGACTAGCATTACTTCAGAACGTAAAGACCTAATTCAGCACATAGTGGCAATTTTTTCAGCTTAATTCTAGCCTTCTCAGCGCACATTCAGAACTGAATAGCATTACTTCAGAACGAAAAGACTGCTGCTTATTATCATCACCTGTGTCCTACGCCGGCGCAATTCATTCAGTTTACAGAAGGAAATCAGTTTTTTTTATTGAGAGAATTTTATATTTAATAAACTGTAGTACATTGTCACTGCAAATCCGTCAAGTGAGATCCACTGCTAGCATCCTGTAAATAAGAAAAATATAAGATTAGTTGATGAAAAATAGTGCTCAGCACATTGTAAGAATTTACATTTATAAAGGTTTACTTACATAACTGCCACTGTTATATTCCCTGGTATCTTTTTCATTTGCCTACAAATGAGAACAATGTTGTCATTACTATATGTTCAATAAACGTTGACTTATAAAAACAAGCAGGTGTTTCGCAATTTTACCTGAGTTCCTTTCTTCAGCTTACGTCTTTGGACACGATCTTTCAAATTGTGAAAGTACGATTTCGTGGCCTTATCCATTATGTCACCAACCTCTCTCGACGTCATTAGTTGGCCGGAGAATTGCGCCATAATTACATCTAAAGAACGAAGTACTTTATAAATGAACCTTACATCTCATTATTTTGTAAAAGGTATAAGGCACAATGCTGGACTTTGTCAAAGTCCCCTGAAATGTAAACTTCAAAGCCACTTCAGGTTTTAGAACATGGTGCATCATGACCTTAAGTGATAACTTTGGATCACTCTGAAGGCAGTTAACCATCTTAGCAGTCTACAAGAAATAAGAATTAAATATGTCAACTGACATACTGCTGTTTGTACTTTTCGTCTCTTAAAGATGCTTCCAGCATCTCTAAGCGGTCTTCATTCTCGATCGGAAACTGCAGTGTGAAGTCATCATTTGCTGGAAGGGAGGTTTGTTGTCGAGATTTTCTGTCAATAGTCATAATGTTCAGCATTTTTGTATGCAAATTGATAAGTTCCATTACACCATCTTTAAATGAATAGTTATTTTTAAGTAATTACCGAGTATTTTCTGAATTTTGGAATCAGTGGTACCTTCGTTAGACGGCAGTCTAAAGCACGAATAAAAATTGTAACAATTATTCCTACCGGTCAGATACAGTTGTGTTTTTGCCAATAGGAGAGGAAGTATGGATTATGGGAGCACTGGAAGTACTGAAAATGAATGGCTTTCAATTACGTAAATACCTTGGGATTTGGGCTATGAAGTCATCAAATATACTGTAATCTGGATATTGTGGTTTGATGCAACCAACTTCACTGGCGGCCACATCAATATCCTTTGAGTTATAAAGGAAATTCTTCTCTAATTTCTTGGCATCCCTGAAAAATACGTTAGACAGAAAATGGCACCTACCTTTTTGGTCTCTTACTAGGCACTGGCAACGTATCATCGTCCATGTCTGCCTTCTTGGAGCCTTCATCATTGCTTCTCAAAAACTCTACACACTTTTTACAATCATCATAAGTATCTAGAGGGGTGATAATGAAATATGCCAACTTACCAAATTCCAGTAGTTGACGGAAATGAAACATTGACCATCCAGTCCCGGTACACATAGGCTCTAGATGGTTTGCTGTGCTGCTGTACGCACATACACCACTACGCACAACCCAGGTGTTTGGGATGGCGACTACAGTGTCATCTTCTAGCGAACGGACGACGAGATATCTGATTGGTGTAGAATTCTGCGGAAGGATATGTAATGAAGTGGAAATACGACTGTTACTTTATCTGTATCAGGTTGCTTAAAATGAATAACAGCATGGATATACCTATATCTCAAAAACTTGGAATAAACTGTCAAATGAACTTCAGTTTGACCAACAACATTAACCAGTTAAAGGTAGATGTTCGGACTTGACGACAAATAGATGTCACAAAAAACTTAGACGAATTACATATCAACAGTTCAAGCAAAAAATTACGGCACAGTTCCTTCAATTAAATGTATGAAGCAGGGGGATGACTACTTCGTCATTAGTTGTTGGAACAGTCATGCACTTGCAGACAATATTCACATAGGATATCCAATGTGTTTCGTGACTGAATTTCGAACATCTAAATATCCCTAAATTCCTTGACTTAAACGGTGTCGTAAAATCATCACTATAATCACTGTAGGGTCGAAAACGGATCCTATCTTCACTTTCCATTTCAACTATATTCCCTGGTTTACCTAAGGCTAAGATGACGTTGTCCGGAGAATAAGATGTGAATATGGTATTCCGATACGTCAGCTTTCCCTTGCTGAATTCAATACACCTATTACCAGCTTCTTTAGGTACATGCTTCACACCCGTACTTTTCATTAAGTACACGTGTTCAACATAGCGTTGAGCTGCCTGCTTGGCCACAGTGTAACCACAGTGCACGGACTGCCTTATCTTGCGCATATAGGATTCGAAGGGAAATGCGCTGAATTCTTCTAGTGGCCCATGCAGCTCAACGTCATCCGCTATATGTTTTAGAGAATGTATATTGTAAACAATATGTTCACTTCCGAAACAATTCTCATATTGCAGTAAGAAATTACTCAAATCTGTCCGAGCGGCATCCAAAAACAGTCGGCTGTATTTGGTACTCGAAAGTAAGTATACTGCCAGGGATAATCTCCTGAAATTAGCGTACAGGTGGCA